GTCCTTTGGGTGGTGTATCAAGAACCGGAGTGATTGGGTTCTTTGATGGGAAGCTGATGTTCTAAATGATGTCGTAACATCATCTTAGTGGAAGCTATCTAGGTCTATGTTCAACATTATTATCAGAAGAGGAATTTCTTAATATAATAAGAAGGCTTTAGTCTTGTCTAAAGTAGTATGCTTGTGAAATGCATATCTCTATCCAGCAACTGCATGTAAGGACAGGGGAATGATATCAGATAGTGTGAAGAAGTTAGAAGGCTTAGTTGTTATCTTAAGGAGCTAGGGTATCTGTCATACTCCAAATTTGTCCGTCCTATTTCTAACTGTTAAATTATTTTTAAACTTGTGTTTTAAAAATTATTAGTTTATTTCTACTAACTTTTAAACACTAATTTCTTTTGCTTATTCAGAAAATCTATAAAAAGTTTGTTTGTTTAAAATAGCAAATATACTACCATCCTTCTTAAATTTCAAATGCTACTTTTATTTTGAATAATTAAGATAGCATATTTGGTAAGTGAACACATGTAAGAATATTGAGCATAAGGTTGTAGGTTCAATTCTCATTGCCCTACTTTTTATATTTATTTCTCTTTTTTGTGTTTTTTAATTTAGAAAGGATAAAAATGTCATTTTTTGATTATTTTATTATTATTTTTGTTTTCTATATTAATGCTATTTTAAAATTATTTTTTATTTTCAAATATTTGAGTTTTATGCATTTAATAGTCAAATTTGGAAAAAATAAATAAAATCTTTTCAAATCAATTTTAATATGGTCATAAACAAGGTCAAATTCATAATCTTGGTCACCAAGTTATGAATCATATTTCAATCAATTTCTAATCTTCAAAATCATGTCATAATTAGATCAATCTCATTCAATTCTTAACCTAATTCTCTTCTATAAAATCCCTCCAGTTTCACACCGTAGAGGCAGCCACAATTTACTAAAATTATTCTCTCAAAGTTGTTGCTCTTCACATCGAAGAACACCAACAAAGAAACCCTGAAAGCCTCCATCAATTCGAGTCTGAGTAGAAAATCTCTGCATCAAAGGAAAACACGAAGAAAGGAAGAAAGAGGATAGGAGGAAGCAATTTAACATCATTATGCTTATATATTGTGGTTTCGTAGTTTGGATTTTTAATTGCTTTATCTGACTTCTCGTTTTGCTTGTATAGTTGATCGGTTTGAATTACAATCTTTTTATGCTATTCAATAGTTATTTTTTCATTCACAATATGTAATTCATTTAATTTTCATCGGGTAATTAGGTACACATGTTTGTCATGCTCTGTTATACCTATTTTTTTCAAGGAAGAAAAATAAACTAAAAAAACTTTTTATTTCATCTAGTGCAAATTATGTTTATTCTGTTACCTAAATTTTGTTTAAAAGATGAGAAAAAAGAACCAAATAGTCGGGGTCATATTTTTTTCCGCCCTTATCTCTGTTATTATAACCGATGCTCAGACTTTCCACTATGTCTTTCATTTGTACAACATTTGTACCTCATCTCTTTACTAAAGGAAAGCCAAAAAATTGGGTTTAAACAATATCTCATGGTTGTTGAAATATTAGATTAGATTAGATTAGATTAGATTTAATATTTAAATATAAACCAAGTTGTATAGACCTAAGCCTAATTAGAGTTGTATATAAATAGTCCTAGTCTGTATCATTATTTGTACAATTCAATAATATAAATTCTTATTTCCTTTACTATTCCCTCTTTCTCTCCTCACTAAAGTGCCTCACGCACTAACAAATTGATATCCAGAGCTTCCGGTTATTATTCTTGATCAATTTTTTAAGAATTTCACGTCAGAGATCGTGTTTCTAGGGCAAGTGAATCAATCGATGTGAAGATGGCTAGTGATAAGGGAATTCCGAATTCTCTTCCAATGCTTGACGAAAAGAATTGGATTCGATGGAAAAAATAGATGCAATCCTTGTTTAGCTTCCATGAAACCCTAGAAGTGGTTACCGACGGCATTCCAGCGTTGGCTGCAAATGCAACCGACGAACAGGAAAAAGCCCACAACAAAATCAAGAAGAAATATTGCAAGGTTTCTTATTGCATCAGACGATGGTCGATGCTGCTAATTTCAACAGAATCTCTCATGGTGAAACGGAAAAAGAGGCATGAAATATTCTGGTGAAGTATTACGAAGGACGTGAGAAAGTAAAGATTGTCAAGTTACAAACCTTGCATCGACAATATGAGTTATTGTCGATAGGAGAAGATGAAAAAGTTGCAGAATATGTGTCGAAGGTTCAAAAAATCGTCCATCTCATGAAGGGTTGTGGTGAAACCATAACTGATAAGATGATAGTTGAGAAGGTAATGAGAATGTTTACCTCTCACTTTGATCACATTATTCTAGCTATTCAAGAATATGACAATCTTGAAACCACTAAAGTGGAAGATTTGGTTGGTTCGTTGGAGGCGCGTGAGATGAGGATTGTCGAAAGGAAAGAAGCACAAGACTCGATACAGACTCTACAGGCTCAGTCATGGAAAAGGGATAGTGGTTCCAACAAATTCAAAGGCAAGTTCGACAAGACTCAGGGCAAGAAGTCTTGGTTGAAACCTCACAAACATCAGGTCAAAGATTGAGCTTCTGAATCCTCGAAAGGAGAAGGAGGAAACTATCGAAAGGGCAAAGAAGATAAAAAAGGTGTGAAGTGCTATAACTGTGAAAAATGGGGTCACGTAGCCAAAAATTGTTGGTACATAAAAGACAAGGGATTAACAAGCAAGAAAGAAGGAGCGAATCTTGCACGCCAAGATTCAGATGATTCTGAAGATGGTATGATGGTTGTGGCTGCAGTTGCAGATAACCATGTCGAATTCAAAATCTGGTTTCTCGACTCAGGCTATTCAAATCACATGAGTGGTCGAGATATTGTGATTAATGAAACTTCTGCATGGGATTGGAATTCTAATAATTCAATTAACAAGACATTGATGAGTTATAATGTTGATGAAGAAATTGATGAAGTAGAGGTCGAAGGAACTGTTGAGAATCCAGTCAAAGTCGAAGAAGAAGTGGTTGTTAACATTCTCGACACAGTCGAAGTCAAAGAGGCAGTGGCTGAAACAAGCCAAAGACCTCAAAGAAATAGAGTTCTTCCAACAAGACTTCATGATTATGAAGTGGTAGGTGATGATGAAGTCACATCATATGGAGAATTAGTTCATTTTGCTTTACTTGCAGGTGCTAAACCAATTAACTATAGCGAAACTTTGAAGACTAAACAATGGAAGTTAGCTATGGAAGAGTTACATGCAATCGAAAGAAACAACACAACGGAGTTAGTAGAATTGTCAACACATACAAAAGCTATCAAAGTAAAGTGGGTATTCAAGTTGAAACATAATGTTGATGGCTCGATAGCAAGATATAAAGCAAGATTAGTAGCTCGAGGGTTTCTTCAAAGAAAAGGACTCGACTACTCTAAAGTATTTACTCCAGTAGCAAGATTAGAGATTGTTCGACTAGTGGTAGCATTGGCATGCAACCAAGGTTGGTCAACATTTCATTTAGATGTGAAATCAGCATTTCTGAGTGGTCCTTAGACGAAGAGGTCTATGTAACACAACCTCTAGGGTTTGTGATTCAGAAGGAGGCGGGTAAAGTATATAAGTTGCACAAAGCGCTCTATGGCCTCAAGCAGTCACCTAGGGCATGGAACAAGAAGATCGAATCATACTCAGTCAAATTGGGATTTGTCAAATGCAAATTTGAGTATGGTGTCTATGTTCAGGTTGTAGCACAAGATATAAGAATCATCTATTTATATGTCGATGACCTGCTAGTAACTGGAAATAGCTTGGAGAACTTGTCGAAGTTCAAAGAGCTGATGATGGAGGAATTTGAAATGTCTGATTTGGGAAAATTGTCTTATTTCTTAAGTATGGAATTTCAAATGTCGAAGAAAGATATGGTGCTACATCAAAGGAAGTATGTCAAAGAAATACTCAAGAGATTTAGAATGGATGATTCAAACATGCATCCTCACCTGTCGAACCAAATGTAAAATTGGAGAAGAATGTAGAGGAAGACAAAGTCGATGTAACTTTGTTCAAGCAAATTATGGGATCTCTGAGGTATGTGTACAACAGTCGACCTGATATAGATTTCGTTGTAGGATTAGTAAGAAGATATATGAGTGAACCAAGAGAGTCATATATGAAGGCTGCAAGAAGAATCCTGTGATATTTGAAGGGTTCGATAAACTGTGGAATACTATTTTGATGAGATTCTGAAGACAAAGAAGTAATAGTTAATTGTTTTTCAGATGCTGATTAGTGTGGAGATAAGGAAGATCGAAGAAGCACAATTGGATATTTATTTCAAGTATTTGGTGTCCCAATTCCATGGTGTTCAAAGAAATAATCAGTGGTGGCACTATCATCTTGTGAAACTGAATATATAGCAGGATCATATGTTGCATGTTAAATAATTTAGATTAGATCTGTACTTGAAAAAATGAAGGTCGAAGTGAAGAAACCTCTTGTATTGCAAATCGACAACAAGTCAGTCATATATCTGGCAAAGAATACAGTTCTGCATGGAAGAAGTAAACATACTGAAGCAAGGTTTCACATCTTGAGACAAAAGATAAATCGAGGTGAACTTGAAGTAAGACATTGCACAAGTGAAGCACAGTTGACTGACATTTTCACAAAGAATTGAATATTGATAAATTCTTGAATTTGAGATAAAAAATTAAGAATAGTTTAAATTGACTATTTTTAAAGATGTTCAACAACTTGAATTATGAAATTATATTAAAATATTAACTTTGATTATATTTAATATTTAAATATAATTCAAATTATATAGTCATAATATCAATTAGAATTTTTTATTATTCCTTCTTTCTCTTTTTAATAAAGAACACTAACAATAGTTAATACATGGACTTTAAATGTAAGACAAATCACAATGATTTACACAAATCACAATGTCTAAATCATGTATTCATCACCATAACCACACTGTGTAAGCACCAGATTGAAACAATGTTGTAAAAAGTTCTATAAACCATAACAAACCAACACCCTCGTCTTCAATACCACCACTGCACGGCTTCCGCCGTCGCCGTCGTTGGTTCCCAAACCACACCACTCCCTCGCGCGGAATCTATCGCTCAAACCTCCGATTAGGGATGTCAGTTTGGACCTGTTAATGGGGATCCCCGCGGGGAACGCCCCGTTCGGGGCCCCAAAGATGGGGAATTTTCCCCCATGGGGGCGGGGATGGGGAGAAAAATTCCCCCGAGAGCATTTCGGGGACGGGGACGGGGAATACACCCCCCGCCCCGCCTATTATTTTAATATAGTTAATTTAATATATATATTTTAGATTAGGTTTTTTAGTCATTTCCTTTATGTTTATTTATAAAAATAAATAAATAAATATTCATGTATTTATTAAGAGAGAGAAATGTAAATATTCATGTATTTTTTAATAACATAATAAATATGTGAATTCTTTGTGCTTTTTATTTTTATAGAAAATATAAACATTTTAAAAAAATAAAATATTAATGAATAAATGTAGGATCTATGGGGATCCCCGCGGGGAACGGGGATCCGCGGGGAACGGGGATGGGGATAGAAATTCCCCCGTGACGGAGATCGGGGACGGGGAATGAATTTGATGGCGGGGAAAAAGATGGGAAAGTGTCCCCCCGGCCCCGCCCCTCCCCATTGACATCCCTACCTCCGATCGGCCGTCGCGCCGTCTCGGACTTCCGGATTTCCTCTTCCGCGGCGAAACCCACCGCGTCCGCCCTTTCCTTAGCGCGAGACCACCGCACACCTCTTTCCGATGAAACTTCCACTGTGCACACCACCGAACTGCAGCAACCTTTCCGGCCATATTCGTTGCCTCTCATCTGAGATTTTCGGATCTGAGGTATATAGGATGTTGAGAGTGTTGCATGCTTGTGTGTCTTTAGAAATCTGAAAGAGAGGGAGGGTACTGTGTGAGGAAGAGGAAGTGATAGAAAGAGAGGAATTAAGAGAGAGTAAGAAAAGAAAGTTGAGACATGAAAAGAAGGGTCACGGTCAAAGAAGCAATTCTCCTTTGTTTAATCATTTTTTCCAATCCAATTTTGACTGAGGTTTAAGAGAATTAGTTTATTAAGAAAGCCACTTAGCAGCCATGTGTCGCCGTAAAATTTATTTTGTTTTTTTTATTTAGCTTTTTTTTTTTGTTTTCTTAAGAGATATAATAATAATAATATCTGATCGTATCTGACCAGTAGAGTACCTGTAAGATAGTCTGATGCTAAAGTAAGATTCAGGAAGAGTGCTAGCAAGTCTGAGAGTATGTGAGTTAAAGAATTAATATTTAACTCTTTCAAGTGAGATGATATTTATAGCCCAATGCTGGTCAAGATCTTCATCGTTGGGCTGGGCAAACAGACCCAAAGAATATCTTTTTGGAATAAGGTATTAAAAAAAATTGCAAATAGCCATGTTTCGAAGAAAATTATACAAATAACCATGTTTCAGAAAACCCCACAAGGGAGGAGCCAACCCAGTTGACGCATGCACTTAGTTTTAAAGGGGAGGCTCCATCTCACTTGGCGCATATGTGTAAAAGGCTTGCAGTAAGTCAAGTGAGATGGCGCCTTAGTGCAAAAGGCAAGCAATTTTTATTTTAAATGCGGTACGTTACGTAAACGATATAGGATCAAGAAAATTGACTTTTTATTTACACAATATGATTACACACATAACGATTACATAAAAAAATACAGATTAATCAGTGGTCCCCCGGAACCCGGTAATGACCCTTGGTTCGGCATCCCTGTCCTCGCCTTTCCCGTACTGGGTTTCGTCGCGTTTCCTGTTGTGGCAGGGTCGATGGCCCAGCGAAGTCAATGCGTTCTGAATCCATGAAGTCGGTCAAATCTCCATATCTAGAAGATCCGCTTTGGTACAGTTGGTTTCCCATACCCTCAAAGTTTGGCCGTATTGGTGGTGGATGGAGTTCCATGATTGGTATGTAGCACTGGTCGTCTGAGTACGGGGGGTAGAAAGGAAATGAATCTTGGGGTGTTTGGTACTGGGAATGTTGGGTGCTTTGGTGATGTTGTTGTTGATGGTAAGTTGGGTCGGTTGGTTCATAATCTTCGGACAATCCCAGATCAGGGCTAAGGTTAGATATTGAGGGGGCCATATTGAGATATGTAGAAGACTGGAATTTTGTGTGGGGTATGCGGGTGTATTGGTATTGTGATTGAAATTGTGGTTGGGTGTGAGGCATATGGGGGTATTGGTACTGAGGTGGTGATTGTGGTTGATTGTGGGGCATGTGGGTGTAATCATATTGTGGAGGTGATTGTGGTTGGGTGTTTGTGGTTCTGTTTCATCGGGGGGGTTGGTGGGAGGTTAATGTATGTTGGGTTTGTTGTTGGGGAAACGAGGGTTGTGCCCATTGTGTTCGTGGATCAACCAAATACCTTGGATGAGACACGTGCATTTCTGGAGTACTAACCGATCTGTACCAAGCTAAATACTGATTTGTGTGTCGCATATTACCATGGTTGAGGAAAACTGGGAATTGCAAGACATGTCGGTGACGCCTCTGCCACATCTTAAACCATTCTGGAGCAAAATCTTTCCAGTTGGTAAGACCTCATTGGGCGTCGACCCTTTTGAGATTCCACGGGGATAAACAAGTTGGATCGTAGGGTATCTCTTGATGCATTCCAAACTGCATCTTGACACGGTCGCTGTGGTGCATCTCCACAATATTGAACCGTATGATTGCAGTTTTTGTGCTCCAAATTGCTGCATCCTCGGAGTTTGGTTCATGGTCCAAACCCAAATATGGTCTCCAGACAAACTGCGGATAAAATTAAATCAGCTTAATGAAAACGTAATAAATAAATAATTTAAAAGTAGAAAAGTTGAAAGGTATGACGTACATCATCCGAGCCAAGGTGATCCAATAGATTGGGTATAAAGCGACATTGAATCTTGGATTCTTGCCGTAATCCATACCCCTCATGCAGTACCTAAAGGATTTGAAAAATATTTTATTTTTATCATATATTTGGTGAAGAGATGAATAGTAATAAATGATATAAGTTGATGACTTACTTTGTTGCGTATGGGAAAATGAATGCGTTGTTGTTGACGAGGTTTAGGGACTCCATTCTCCACCAACCCCAGGCTTGAAGTAAAAAAGCGCAGCCACAAAATATACATTTTTCCTTGATTGCATTTTTACACAAGGAAAATTGTATAGATGGGCTAAAACAGCAGAACTCAAACTATACTTTCTAGTTTTTTCAAAGTCTCTAAGTAAATTTAAATACATAAAATTTACACTATTTCTCGTACTTTCGAGAAATAAAAAGGTTCCAAATAGTATCATTATATAATTTTTAGCTTTTATTACCTTAGCTAACTTGGAGGAATTTTCGTTCAATTCCAGAGTCGTATAATGATTTTTTAGCTCAGTAAGTAGTATATCCTGACCTCTCGCACCACCACCTTCAACCATATCCCTGCCCAACAATTCTTCACACAGAGAATTGAGTTGTTGAACTGACCCGTTAACCGCCTTACCGTCGACAGGGAGACCCAATAACATGTACACGTTCTCTAGTGTGACGGTACATTCACCTATTGGTAGATGAAATGTATGGGTCTCTGGTCTCCACCTTTCCAACATTGCAAGTATGAACTTTGAATCAATCGTGCAGTTGGAGATCTTTATAACGTTTCTGAAACCTGCGTATTCGAGATAGGGTACGATCAACGGGTCGGGAGCAAGGTAGTTGTGTGATTAGATTCTGAATCTTTTAGTATCCTAAGTTAAGAATGTAAAAAATGTAAGAGTTGGTAAGATGAATAAAGCATTAATAGAAGTATGAAAAATGTATAACTATACAAGAAACTTACAAACGCTGCAATGTTGTCCCTTGTGCCTCTGTGAGAATTGCCCATTGTGAGAAGAGGCATTGTTGAAATTGTCTGAGATTATGAAAGAGTTTTAAATTGTATGAGATTATGAAAGAGTTTGTAGCAGAGAGTGAGACGATTGTGGATGCAATAGAAGTATGTGAGGCTCTGTATTTATAGGTAAAATTTTATCACAAAGTAAGTGAGGTGGTTGGTAGGTGCATGCATGTAACACGATTGGACGTGAAGGGAGGCACCATTGGACTTGGCGAATGAGTACAAAAATGAAAGGTGTCGCCATCCCTATTGGCGAATAAAAGGTGGCATGGGTTGCAGTGTAGGTGCAGGCTAGGTGACAGCCTTGGGGAAGACATCTCTGCATGCATGTAACACGATTGGACGTGAAGGGAGGCACCATTAGACTTGGCGAATGAGTACAAAAATGAAAGGTGTCTCCATCCCTGTTGGTGAATAAGAGGTGGCATGGGTTGCAGTGTAGGTGCAGGCTAGGTGACAGCCTTGGGGAAGGCATCTCTGCATGCATGTAACACGATTGGACGTGAAGGGAGGCGAATTAGAGGTTGCTTACTGTTGGTTAATTCAAATTCAGTACAACCTATTTAATCTTACATTTATCAAAACACTCCTACACTTAATCACTCAAACACTAGAACATTCAAAAATTCAAGCAACTAACTCAAATACTTCAAACCTTCAAACCTTCAAACAATCATACACAATGGCCTCTGCACCCCAATATGTGATCAGTGCACATTTCAACAGTGAGACATACATTTGTCTCACCTCTGGGTTTTTGTTTAGAGACATTGAGAACATCCGATTTTATTTAAACAGGAAAGCCAATTTCTTGTATTTCAAAAAATGATTGGAGGTCAAACTTGGACGAGGTCCCGTGACACAAATCTTTTATCAAAATCCGGTTTTTTTGGTAACAACCAAATAATATTTTATAAGGTTGAGGTTCAAGATGACGAGGACCTTCAGAATATATTTTTTAGTCATGAGTATTATGGGTATGACTCTATTGAGTTGTACATTATGTTACGAGAGCCTCAACTGTCACAAGTGGTTGATCCTCTGGAGATCAAACAAGCAGAAGTAGATGTCGTTGATGAAGAAGAAGAAGAAGATGACGAGTTGGAGTTTGACGACATGGTCAACGATGATTCCGAAGACGATGGGATACCTGGTATTCCTTCAAACGAGATCTACACACCACCTTCGCACATGAAAAACTTCAACATGGGCGGAGATGAATCGTCATCTGATTTATTTTTCAATCTGTATATGCGGTCGGATGAAAACTTAAAAGAGAAAGACAAATTTCATAATAGAGAATAATGTATCTGAGCCATAAAAAAATTTCACATGCTCAACTCGGTCGATTTTAAGGTGGACCGTGTAAATCCAGAAAGGTACAAGAATAAGTGTATCCACCCAGATTGTATGTTCAAGCTCACTGCATCATACTGATTAAGAGGTGATTGTTGGGTCATAGGTTCTATGTTCATCCACACGTGTGTCAGTTCTACTCAATCACAGGATCATCAGAAACTAAATTATGATCTCATATGTCAAGAAATCCTACCCCTCGTCAGCAATGATCCATCATTGAAGGTGAAAACCATAATCTCCCACATCACTACGGTATTTAACTATACTCCGTCTTATTGAAATGTGTGGTTAGAAAAGACCAAGGCGATTGAAAAAGGTATATGGAAACTGGGAGGAGTCATACCAAGAACTTCCTCGCTACCTAAATTCACTTCAGACTTATTCTTCGGGTACTGTTTACATTTTGGAAACACTGCCAGCATACACCTAGATGGTAGTCAACTCAATAGAAATGGAATATTCAGTCGAGTGTTTTGGGCTTTTCAACCTTGCATCACAGGGTTTGCATCATGCAAACCAATTATACAAATTGATGGGACTTGG